TGGCAGAAGAACAGAAATATCCTTGGGCTCTAGTGGGCAGTTAGGGTTTCCTAAGAATGCTGTGCTGGATTGGTGGGATTCTCACAGGGAGAGATGGATGGGGCATGGATTTAGGTTGGGGGTCTGGAATCTCAACTCCACCGCGCTTAGATGTGTGATCACCTCCAGTTAACACTGCTAGCCTGTTGGTTAGTAAACCTTTTGGCTTTTGGGAGGATAAGAAGAGGTTATTTGTATAAGATGCTTAGGACAGTGCCTGGCATGTGTTCCTCAGTGTTTATACTTAACCCATATCTGTAGCAGCATTTGCTGTGCAAACCTCCCACAGGGCAGCTGTTTGATTACATGACAACTTTTAGTGAGAAAGCCCAAGGGAAGCCTGGCGAGTGGTGGCAAATGGAAATAGAGCCACTGTTCCTGGTCTTCCTTCTGCCTCCCTCTCCCTCTCCCTCCTTGTATTCCTTCTACATCCCTCATCAAATGCCTTTCCCAAACATTCATGGCAGACTTCCTGGGTTCCATTTCGTTTCTGCCCCTTCCCCTGTGCTCCCCTAAAGCCCCATTGCCCACCCCCAGCTTGCCCCCTCCTGTCCCCACCCTGGTCCTATCTGTGGGCAAGGCCCCTCTGCGTGTGGTTTGCATTCCTGCCACTTTCTCTACTGCAGTGATATTCAAAACTGACCACAATTGCTACGAAAATTACAGCCTTGGCTTGGTTGTGCTTCCATCATTCGCCTCCCCATCTCCCTGACTTAGCTGCTCCCATGTGGTGCGATTTCTTTCACCAAGTGTTGTTTTCCTTTTCTCTGCCTGTGTTTGCACAGAACGCCATGAATTTGATATAGTGATTGCCTAACACATATACCACATAATAGTATTTTATTTCTTTCCAAAGCACCGTTTGCATGACAAATGAGTTGGTCACATTTGTGCAACTGCTCACAGCTGTGTCATTCAATATATAAAGAATGAGCCTTTTGGCATCGGCACTGGCCCTGTGTATTCTAAGAGGGCTTGAAACTGATGCTTAAACAAAGTTAGTCACAGGATACTGCAGAGTTCCTGTCTATTTCATCACAGTAGGTCTCAGGGTGATTTAAAAATACATACAGAACTGGAGCTACCCCAGCGGTGGTACCCAGTGTGGGCTTCATTGGTTTGTCAGCCTTCCTTGTGTTTAGAGACACTGCTGCTGCTACACATACCTGGGGCAAAATGATGCTCCCCACCCCTCCTTGTGTCTTCCCTCTGGCCTGGAACCAATGTGTGCCCAGCAGTGCCCCCCACCCACCATGGTCCACCCTTCTGCCTCCATGGTGGCTTCTGGCAGTGCCAGGCCTCGTCTGCTGAGTGCAGCAGGCCTTCGGTGTGGCCGTGTGCCACCACTTAGAGCATGTTAGTCCATCAGTACTTCCTCCCCACCCCCAGCGAGAAAAAACCTCACCATCTTATTGAAAAAGTCAATTAGTAAAAACCTCACAATCCTTCCTCCCAGGTCTCTGCCTTTCCTCTTCTGAACCCTCTGCTCCAGCCCTGTCCCTCCTTGGATTACCAGCCTCACTGGGTCCTCCATCAACTTTTCCCGCTTCATTGAAGTCAGCTTGCTGCTCTTCATGTTCCTCCACACAACCGTCCCCACATTTCCTTCGCTGAGCCTCATGTCCCCCGACCAGGGCAGGGCCTCAGTGCTTCCTTGCCACCCCCGCCCCGTGAGGGGCTGCCCGAGAGCCCTGTGGGCTTTCTCTGAGACTGCATTTCTGTGTCTTCACTGTGGTTCCTCACCTGGACCTGTCCCTATTTTAAAGAAAAGGGCAATATTACAAGGTCAGCATCTGCCCTCTGTGCCCTCCTTTCTCATCGTTTTGTTGTGTGTGTGTGTGTGTGTGTGTGTGTGTGTGTGTGTTTAAGGTGAAAAGCTCAGGCTGCAGTCAGTCTTCCTGATTTATTAAAGGCAAAAGAGGAAAAACAAGCTCTAGTGTCTATATCTACTTAGTAACCACATCCACGCATTTAGTGGCGGTGAGGGGCTGCTTGGAGGACACTGGATTCCCAGAGGGCTGCCACACTGCCGTCCTGCTGACCTTCCATCTCAGCAGAGCCTTGTCATAATAACAGCCATGAATCTTTCAGTGGGTTCTGTTCTCCTGCAAAGTCCTGCGCACATTTATCAGGTCCTTAGAGATGCTCAGGAACCATAGACTTGTCCTTGTTCTACCTCGTTGCCAGCCTCGTGTGTCCCTCAGCTATTTTGGGCTTCCTTCAGACTGCATCATGGTGGCGTCACACTGCGGGGTGGGGATGGTGGCACTGAGAGAGTGTGGTTGAAAAGGGGACGATGTGGGTGCTATTTGGGGCTCCAGTCTGGACTGGAATGGCCCAGCACTGGCCAACATCTTGTTGCCTCGTCTCAGTGCCACGTGGAAGAGAAGGACCCTTTCCATCTCTCTAGGTCAGTGAAGGAGCAAAATGAGTCACAGAGAAGTGCCGGAATGGGTTTAATGGGCAATTTTGTCATCTGCTTTTCAGATGACAATGAAACAAGATTCTCACTCTTTTGGCCACTCTCTCACACTTTAATATCTGTAGGTGAGGGTTCCTTAAGAGGTGTGGAATATGTCCCCCGATGTCAAAAATGAATTGTGTGTGAAGAAAATGTAACACTTCCAAACAGTTTCTTTTGGACTTTGTCCATGATTAGATTATACTAAATTACAGAGTACAGATACCAGACAATTACTCTTGGCTTTTAACTGTTCAATTTCACTGCAAATTCATGCAGCTCAGTAATTATAAAATCACACCAATGTGGTTACAGAGAAAATACCTTATCATCACCATCTTGTGCACCTAGGTTCGGGTTGCCCTGTAATTACCTGTGGTCCTGTTACGTGTACAGTGCATTCCACACAAAGACAGAGTAATCTGTAACTGTCCACTATTGCCAGGTATCTGCAGAAAGTCTTGCAGATTTTGCTGGATAAACCTCAGCCAGATGTGAGGAAGAGCCCCATCGTCCTCACCTGCTGATTCCTCTGGGCCCCATCCCCATCTGATCCAGGCTGGGTCCTGGTCCAGGGATTCTAGAGCTTTCACCAAGAGTGTGTCTCCTTACTTCTATTTTGTGAAAACATGGTATTTTCTCTTGGCTCAGCTCACAGAATCCTCCCCAACATTCTCCAAATTTTAATTTCTTCCCCCAATTTTAATTTCTTCCTGGGCTGTGCAGGTCCTGTAAGCAATCCAGTCTGCTGTCCTAGAAACTGGAGGAACATGTTGGAGGAAAAGAATTATTTGAGCCGATTGTGAGAACAGTGGCAGGAGGAGGAAAACGAGAGAAGAAAGGAACCGACACATCTAAATAGGGCCCTGAGTACAGTGCGCACAGATGCCAGCGGTGGCAGGGACCCGTTGCAGCTCATTACTCAGTAGCACATCAGAGGCCACTGGTTGAGAGTCTCGGACAGCCGGCTGCAGCGCCGAGCTTTGAACAGGGCTGTTCTGCAGAACAGGCAATGCCCTCACACTTCCCGGAGCTGTGCTTGCTGATCCAATTCCAGTTAAGAAGAGATGCAGACTACATGGAGCGAAATCTCCTAACAGTCTCAGTGCCCTCCCTGGCGCCTATTCCAAGGCTGCCCTACAGCCCCAGGATCCTGAAGAACATTCCTCAGAGGTCGCAGGGGCCCCTGTCCCTGATACAGGCACCCTGCTGGTGATGGGGGAGGTGGTCTCACTGTAGGGGCAAGTCTGAGCAACTGGTAAGGAAACATGAAATCTGCGTTTTCCACATAGGACAAGACAGTGAGCATTTTGTTTTCCTGCTCCTTGGAGTGCATGACATAGTTCAGTGACTGGCATGGAACTCGGAAGTGCCAGGAGCCTTGGATTCAGTTCCTCCCTGTTGCAGGCTTTACAGGTTCCCGGGTCTTTTCCTCCTTTCTCTCCCATGTGCCCTGCTGCGGCCTCAGCTCCATTTGTTACCTGGCATTTTGACAGCATTTCAGCAGCATTTCTTCAGACCCTGCAGCTGCGCTTGGGTTTCGTTGTAGTGCATAGGAGCACATTGGAAACTGAATGTGCAACAAGCAGGGGTTTGGGTGTTCCTTGGGGGCACTCGGAGCACCCAGGGGAGTGTCCTTTTTAAAGGTTGAGGTTTTCTTGTTTCAGTAACTTCTCTCTGGCTAAGCCCCTGCACTGAATCAAGTGGATAGATATACGGAACAGGCACTGTGTCTAACTCCTGGTAACCAATGGTTTCTGTATGGCCCTAGCTTATAAATAAATGAACATTCATTAATGTAAAATTAAATTAGAATGAAATGCCCCATCCAGTTTTGATTAGAAGGCAGAAATAAGTGCGTTGGCTGTGTGATTTAGCTGCGGATGCTGGAGCATGTAGTCACAAGGTGATAACAATAATAGTAATTTGCTCTTTGCTGGTGCCTCCATGCCCTCCTCTCGAGGTGGATATCACCACCTTGCTTTCGCAAAGGTCCATTGAGTTTAAAGACTAGCAGGAAGTTCTCAGCAAGGGGTTGATTCAAACTCTCTGACCCATTAGACCTCAAGCTTGTTGGTAATAAGAAATGCACGAGGATTCAGGAGACCAGACTCCAGCCCTTGCTCAGCCACAGACTCAGTGTGGGCAAAAGAATGCCATCTCTCTGGGCCTCAGTTTCCTGACCTCTCACAGGAGGGCCAATGCAAATCTTCCAATTCTGTGGCCTAAATTAACATTGGAACCTAGAACTTAGAAAAGGTGCATGTTTGGCTAATGTATGTACCATTTATGGCCAAAGTCTCTCTGAACTTTATTTTTCCCATTATGGCATGATCTGAGTTTGACCTTTGGAAATTAAGATGTTAAATAACAGAGTCATTTCTGTATATTTCACGTTTTATTTGCTGGAGGGGGATTTGCTTGGGAGAAGGTGATTTTCTTCCAGCCCCACTGCGGGGGCCATGCAGCCTTCCAGGGCCTCCCTCTTGGGGCCAGGCCCTCAGTTTTGGCCACTGGCCACCTTCTCCCAGGAGTGGAGCAGGCTGTCCTCTGACTGTTGGAAAAAAGCAAAGGAGGTTTGCAGCTCAGTAGTGTCAGCAGGCTTGATTATCAGCTTATGAACCACTTTCTAAACCTGTCTGCAAGCCCCAGGGAGGAGGGGCACCAAGGAGGGGCAAGTTTTGCCAGGCTTCTGGAAGCTTTACCTCTAGTTTTCTCTGTAGCCTGGGGCAAGTCATTTAACCTCCACATTTCTCCACCTTGGACACGTCCTCCCTGCCTTTCTCCTCTCCTGGGGACTGTGAGAAGTAATTAGTGGCTGTTTGTCAGTCTAGCTTTGCACAAGTAACTCAGGCAGACCTTGAAGTGGGCAAGGCCAAGTGGGGCTCAGGATTTCCATGTGCAGAGTGATGAAAAAAAAAAAAAAATGCAGGCTTTGGCCATATTGCATTTTTTTTCTTTAGAGAAATTACAGCGGTGTTTGGGGGAGGGAATGAACATATTTGGAGCAGGGGAGTGTTGGTGGGTTGTCGTTTGTTGTAGCCATCTGCCAGAAGGGTGTTTGGGACAGGCCTAAGCCATCCAGGCAGGGCCTGGAGATGCCCCTGGCTGGGAGCTGGGCTCCTCAGGCCCCAGCAGGCATCCGAGCCTTCCCTGTTCCACGATTAGGCTGGGTGACCGGAGAGGAGGGCACGCGTGCGGGAGAAAACAGCTTCATGTTCTCAGGTGCAGAGCAGACAAACAAATCGCCATCCCCAAACTCCGACTCAGACTGCTGGCTGCTGGAATACTAATTCGAGGTGGGCAGAGGCTGGGCCCTGTGCAGAGATGCCCACCTGCAAAACCACCCCCCCCCTCCACCCCGTCCAGCCCTGGGTGGACAGCAGCACCTTGCTCAGCAGCCCGTTCACGGCGGCCCGGTACTTTTCCAGCTGCCTGGAGTCCATCCTCATTGCAATTTCCATGGGAGCAGTCAGCTGTGAAATAAGGCAGAGTTAACAAGAAGGGAGAGGCAGGGGGGAGTGCCATTAACCCCTGGGTGTCCTACAGGAGCCACACTACCCTGCTGGTCCTACCCTGCCCAATCCTCTGGGCCCCTTGGGCCAGTTGGGAATTCTGGCACCCCCTCTGCATCCCACCCCCCACCCCCGCCCAGTTCCAACCATGGGGCTGAATCGTGGAAGTCACTGAGACCTCCTGGCAGGATGATTAACAAACCGCCTCTGGTGGGGAAGCTGGGCCAGGAGGAATGGGGTTGTCAGGAACCCCCCTGGCTTTTCACGTGGGCAGGACACTCGCCTCCCCTGTCTCCAGAAGGCTAAACCATCATGTGCCAGGTGTCATTCTAAGTGCCTTAGTGTATTACTATTAAGCTCAATAATTCTATGATGTAGAGACTATTAGTGCCCCCATTTTGCAGATGGGGAAACTAAGTACAAAGAGGTTGAATAACTTGCTTGAGGCCACACAGGGACTAAATAGTGAGGAAGGAAACAGTACATCAAAGGGACTTGTCTCCAGCATCAATGCCAATGACCACCAAGCTACACTTGCTCTAGCACTGTGGGGACACAAGTGAGACCCTAGAGGACCTGCCTGGAGGCTTGCCACCAAGAGAGGTTGTGGTAGAGCCGGGGGTACTGACTGACCTTGCTGTCCTTCAGAGCTTCCTGGCTCAATGATCTTGCTGGCAAACCAGCTCCCCATCTCTCCCCAGGCTCCCTGGGGCTGGGAAATGGGCTCCAGATATCTGAGGGGCAACCTTAGGTGCACCTCAGTGGGGCTCTGGACCCCAGCCCAGACTATACCATTCTCTTGCCATGGTTATCCCTTCCTTTGGGCCTCATCTTCCTCACTGTGAAATGAGGAGGCTGGACTGGGTGATCCGTAAGGGTCTTCTGGGCCTGCATATCACAGTTCTAGGCAGGTGGATAGGGGATGAGAGGTGCCTCACCCCAGAAGCCTCCCAAGATGTTACATTGGACGTAGCATGTATCATGGGAACCTCAGTCAGTGCCTTAACGGCCTCTGCTGCATGTAGGAGGGCGGTTTCCAGCCAGCTTCCCCTTTCCCAGCTGAATGTCTCACCCCCAGTTCTCTCCTCAAGAGCCTAAGGAGCTCCCCGCCCACTGCAGCGACAGCACCAAGATCGCTTTCTGGGCCACACGTCTGACCTCACTGTTGGTGGACAGCGTGCTGGGGCAACCCAAGGCGAGGAAAGGTCACTGGCCAGTGTCCAGGGGGTGGCGGGAGGCGTGGAGTCCTGCTGAGCTCTACCCTGACCACTGTGTGACCTTGGCAAGGGCCTCACTCTATCGAGAAATCAGTCTCCTCCCCGCCCAGGCGCCTCTACAGGGAAGCACCTCACGCTCAGTCCTGGGGCCGCTCCCTTCTCCATTGACCCACACCCGCTTAACGAGCTCACCCTGTCCTGAGTTGAAATCCCATCTAATCACTGATGACCCTCGCGTTACGTCTCCGCCCCAACCCTTCCTCAAGTGCTGACTTGTATATATCTACCTGCCCGTGCACTGTCTCCACCCAGATGCCTGACAGGCATCTCACAGTTCACAGGTCCGGTGCGACCTCCTGATCCTCCTCTTGTCAACCTGCAGCCAACCACAGGCTTCACTGTCTCAGGTGTTCCGGCCAAAATCCTTGAAGTCAGTTTTCTTTTTTCTTTTTCCACATCCTATATATTTCTTTTTTCCAGCAAATCCTGTGGGCTTCTAACTCCAAAGTATTTCCAGAATCTGACCATTTTGTTCTGCCTCCACCATGACCACCTGGGCTGAACCACTCTCTCTTGGATACTGCTGCAGCCTCTCCTGTAGTCTCCATAATTCTGCCTTCCCCTTCAAAGCCTGTTCTCAACACAGAAGCTGGGAAGACTCTTTTAAAATGTAAACCAGATCATGTTCCTCCTCTGCCCAAAGCCCCGAAAGGCTCCAGTCAGCATAATGAAAGCCAAGTCTGGAGAATGGCCTAAAAAGTCCACATTCTGGACTCACATCAACTCTCCCCAGACTCCCTCTCTTCCAGCCACTCTGGCCTCCCCGTTGTTCCCAGAATGCACCAGGCCCACTCCTGCCTCAGGGCCTTTGCCCTGCTCTTCCTTCTGCCTGGAATGCTCTTCCCCAGACATTCTTCTGATTCCCTCCCTCATTCTCTTCAGGTCTTTGCACTGATACTATCTAATCATGAAGCCTGCTCTGATCACCCCATTTAAAATCGCAAGCAGTCCCTCCTGCTTTCCCTGCCTTATTTTCCTCCACAGCACATATCACTACCCACCATACTACAAAGTTTGTTTATTATCCTGTTTGCACATCTGTTCCTGGTCCCTCACTGAGCAGAGGCTGGGGACCAGTGTGAGCACCAGGAGGGCAGCCCATTTGTCAGTTTTGTTCACCGCTCTATCTCCAGGGCCTAGAACCAGGCCACACACATAGCAGGGCTCGGGAGTGTTCATCGTCTGGGTACGTGCCTGTGCAATTAGAGGGGTACTGGACACACTTGAGGCTCTCTCCAGCTCAGACGATCCACACATCGTAATGTGTTGCTGAAAGGTCCTGGGTCCTGGGCCTTGACACTGTAGCTGCCTCCTGGGCTCCTCGCTAGGGGGAGGCACTGCATCCTGATTATCTCTCTCCCGACTAAGGACTGCACCTGCATCCTGACGAGTTTCCTGCCTTCCCTCATGCTGCCCAGATCTTTCTATGCCAGACCTGGTGAATTCCCTGCTTGGAATCCCCAGTGGCCTCTGGCCCACCAGACTCTGCTCTGCTGATCTATTGCCCTCTCTCAGGGCACCCTGGCCTCAAGGACCTCAAACCCACCAGGTGCTTCCTGAGCAGGGCCATTACACTCACGGTTCCTTCTTCTGGGGTGTACTTGCTCTAACTCTTTGCAAGGAGGCGTTCCTTCTCATATTCAGGTTTCCAATGCAATGTCCCCTCCCTCCAAGGGGCCTTCCCTGATGCCCCCCCATCCAAAGCAGTGACCCCAAATCTCACCCTATCACTCTCTATAATACTTCCTTGTTGGTGTCTAAAACGGCTTATTGTCTCATAGCTGGTGTCTGTTTCTCCCTTCTAGGATGGAGTCCATTGCCCGAATGGCTCACTGCTGTGCCCTAGCACATTCTGTGGCTGGCCAGGGGAACCCACCCCAGGTTCCTCTGCATTGTCCACTTGTCTGCTCACCTTGATAACTTGGTCTTCCTTTTCCTCTGTGGGCTCTGTGAGATCCAGGGGACCCATCTCTTCAGACCTCTGCTGCTCACTCAGGGATTTCTTCTGCCCTTTGTTCCGCTCCTTTTCCTGGGGGCAGAGCATAAAATCACACAAAACCCACCCGCCTCCCAGATGGCCCTTGTCTGTTTCTGCCCAGGGTGCCAAGTGGCATGGGCTCCCCTCAGGCCACAAAACCTCCCTCTCCCCTGGCGCCTCTTGCATGAGGCGTCACAGACACCCAGGGGCCTGGAGTTGCCCCCTAGCAGGTCAGCCTGAAGAGGAATTTGTTCCTTTGAAGTTCATACATTACACCCAGATTGTTACTGTTAATTAAATTAAAATGTTGAAAATAATGGCTGCCCTTCATGCATATTAAGTATGAAAATGTGTTTTTCTTAGCAGAGAGCCTATAAAAAAAGGTGATGAGACAGCCTAGCCTGTGAGGACACCATGGAGTGGCCCAGAAACTGGAGTCCCTGGGAGGTGATTTATAGGAGGCAAGACTGGGAGATGAATAATGGAGGGAGTTTGCAGCTCCTTCATAAAAATCCCGAAGGCAATTACAGGGAGCAAAATCACACTTCAGATGAATGCAAAGTGTCCTTTGGTTGCCATTTTGCTCGTTTGTGTTCCACTGAATTTGACTCCGTCTGTCCAGCCCCCAGTCTTGCCAGGTCTCAGAGCACTCAGATCAGATGCACTCCTGTGCTTTGGTTTCTCTAAGGACACTCTTGGGATTCAGCTCTGGGCCTGCCCTGAGACGTGGCAATCCTAGACAGTAGGTTGTCTTTTCTGGAGAGGGAGCAGGGTGGAGCAAGGTGTGTTCAAGGCCCCCCATCTGTTTCTCTGTCTGTCCCGGAAGAAGGGGATCTGGGTCCAGTCTTGCCTCTGCAAGGGACGCCTGTCCCGGACAGAGGGTGTATGTACAGAAGCCAGACCACGGGGCCACACAACTTCCCAGAGAACTGACTCAGGTGTTCGTCCCTGTGGGAGCCTCCATCTGCGAGTGGTGGAACGTGAAAGTTCCATTTCTTCGTCTCCTTGGGGCGAAAGAGAAGCCAGTGTTGGCAGACACTCAGAAACCCTGCGTCTAAAGTACAAGTCACAGGGAGGCAGGCCCAGCAGTCCAGTTGTCCCGAGGCCCTGCCGCCGGGTTCACGAGGCCTGCCTTGTTCCCTCCTGGCCTCTAAACAGAAGGAGTCTTCGCCACTGCTACCCGGAAGCTGCCTCCACCGGTCCTCCTCCTGTTCTCCCAAGGCTCGGGTGTCAGTGTTTCCCTGTAGGCTTCGGAACAGGCACCAGCCCACAGCAACTTCTCCCTCCTCTGAACTCAGCACTTACCAACAGCATTACTTGTTGGGCAATTAATCATCCCCTGCCTTGTGACATCTCCCCTTTGTCTTCTATTTTTAGAGAATTTTTTATGCGTTTGTGTCTTGGCTCCTGAGCCTTCTTAGGTTTTCTTGTATATCTGGCCTCTCACTCAGTGTATTGACTTGTCAATTGAAAATTCCCTTGGAAGGATGAGCAGGAGTGGGAAAAGATATCACTCCACTGACACGTGTGAGTGGCACTGGTAGAGGAGGGGAGGAGGCCAGGGAGACGGCTGGAGTCTGGAGTTATCTTTGGAGCCAGGTCCTTCATGCTGTCCTCAGTGTCACTGGCATAGTTGATTAAATGTAGGTTTACTGAAGAGACATTTGTGCCTTAGAAAAACTAACACCTCTTCAGTGCTGAGCAGGGCTGTGAGTCACTGGCCCATGCTGGGGAGCAGGGCAGAGGAGATTTCTTACCTGCATCCTCTGGACCTCACTGTAGGTGAAGATGGGTACGAAGGCTTCTGTCTGGGAGGCCAGCAGAGCAGCGACATGAACTACCAGCAGGGCAGCCACGGCCTTGCAGGACACCATCCTGAAGCTGGACAATGGGGAGCGTCTGTCACGGAATTCTGGGCAGTGCTGGACTGCGGCACTGCAGGCCAAGCCCTCGGCTCTGCTCCATGCCCTGCCTGTGGCTGTGTGATCTTGAGCAAGCTGCTTAGCCTCTCTGGATATGGGCTGGGTACGGGGCTTTACCAGACAAGCTCGGAGCCCCCTCCCTGCAGCAGAGCCTTGAGAGCTGACCAGTGGGGTCGCCTGGCCCCCTGCCACACGCCAGGAAGAATCATCCTACTTGTGGTCCCTTCTCTTTGTTATAGGTGAGGTCTGCTGAGGACAGCTAGGCTCCTGAGGTGGGAGGGACCTTGGTCTCAGAGAAAAAACTCCTCGATTATTAACAGAACTATGTCCCAAGACCCAGAGAACCCACCCGGCTCTCTCAGCCAATTAGGATGTTGAAAGGGATGCACCTAAGCCCAGATGACCCTGACTCTACTTGGAAGCACCAGGCCAAGACCCCAGGTATAGAGGGAAAAGGACTGAGATCCTCTGCCATGTGGCGGCAGAGCCAGATGGAGCAGTGTGCAGGAGCTGGGAGTGGGGTCCCTACCCAGCCCTCTGGGGCCAGCGCTGGCTCTGGAACAAGTCTCTCCCTGTTCCTGTGAAATCTAACTGCCTGTTCACTGCCATGCAGAAACAATAGGGGTACCACTTCTCCCTGAAAACCCCCACCCCACGCCTCAGCATGCCATGAGTGCCGGAGAGGTGTGTGGGGGCCCTCCTGCATCTCAGGAAGTGGCCCTGTCCGGGTGGGCTGCGCAGACCTGGCAGGGAGCAGGTGGGCGTGGTGGCTGCAGGACCGCACAGGCTGGAGGAAGGGTCAGCCGGCTGCACTTTGAGTAGGGTCAGGAGGGTCCTATGGGGAGGAGGGCATGGTCTGCTGGGTGCCAGCCTCAGTTGATTCCTTACATGGGGGCAAGGAGTCCCCTTCCTAGCCCCCTTGCACACAGTCCTCATGTCTGTCTGGGGGCAGGTGTGATCTGGGGAGGGAAGGAGACCTAGGAAAGTGGAGGGACTCATTCAAAGGCAGTGGGGGACTAGAAGCCAAACTTCTGAGGCCTGGTGCTTTTCCCAGCCCCTCACCGCCTGTTACCTTTGGTTACAGAAGGCAGAGAAGGGCGCAGACCTGCTGAATATACCTCAGACACCGATGTTCCTATGCTGGGTGGACTGCTGAGGCAAGGGCCAGGCCTCCAGGGCAAGGGGAGATGAGGCAGCCTCTGCTGCAGGAGGCGTGGGGTTATTACAGGGTTTCAGATAATGAGCTTCCCGGGGTCCACAGGGGCCTCCCACAGGATTCTGTTTAGTAGGAGCGTCCCGCCTGAGCTGGCCTTCAGGCTGTGCAGCAGGCCCCATACTCTCTCCCTTGGGACAGAATCTTCCAAGGCTGGTGTCCTGCCTCTCTGCCAGGACCAGGCTCCTCAGTGACCTAGAGCCACCTATACTCAGCAGGGCACTCCCGGTGCCTTCCTGTTACCCTGTTGCCCTGTCCCGCTTTCTTCCCTCCTTTTGATAAAACTCTATGAGCAAGAACACCAGTGTTCAGACAGCCAAAGCCTCCCATGCCAGCTGCATACAAATTCCAGGAGGGTGGGAAGGACCACTGCCCACCGAAGACCGCCTCTCTCGGAGGACCTTGAGAGGACGGTAGACATAATGGGGGTGAGAAGCTCTGAATCACGGTTCCTCCCTTCTGTTCCTGTCCTTTCACTATGTGGTCTCTGGGTCCCTGTCCCTCCCAGAGGACACAGATATGTCACATTTATGACGTCCCTTTTCCTTCATGGAGATGCTATAGATCCCTTTTCATTCTGGTGTTGGCATTTAATTCACTCCATAAGAATTAATAAAAACTTGAAATAAAAAAAGGCAAAATCCGTGTCACCTACATTCATTTGTGTTCTGCAAGCAACAGAGTGGGAGGAGCTTTTCACAGTGCGGTGCGTGCCGGCTTTTCATTCCATCACCCAGGCTGGGCTCTGCCTTCAGATGCTCAGCTCTGGACCAGGGGGTACCTGTCTCCTCCCTGCCCCTCCATAGTAGTGCCAGGCTTGTAGTCCCTAGGGACCAGCCTTTCCCCTTAACTTTCCAGAGCAGAGCCTCCATGCCATGTGGGGCCCTATGTTCCTGCTGAGTTTCTAGCTTGGGCTTCTGGCTGGCAGTCGATGGCACCACTGACCCCAAACAGCCTCTCTGTTGCCGGGAATTGCATTTGCCTGCTCCCCCTCTGGCCTCCATGCCTCAGGGCAGCCCTGCTGCTGCTTACTGCGTGCACCTTTAGCCTGCTACCCAAAATCAGCTTGGGGCACTCAGTCGGAAACCCAGCTGAGCATTTGAAGGTGGCAGAGGGACGTGGGAGCTGGTCGGCTCTGCGATGTTGTACCCTGGGGCTCATGCTCATCACCTGCCCCACCCGCTTTCCTCCATGGCTACTCACAGTGCGAGCGTGGTCTGCGTGGGCCTGGCAGAGTCCCTCTGCTTGTCCTTTGGTGTCTGGCTGGTCTGACCGGCCCTTATATACCTCCAGTTCTCCCCTTTGGAGCCCATTAACCTTTGGTCACACCTTTGGGGGCTCTGGGTGGGGAGCCTGGATTCTTGGAGCTCATGGAAACCACGGCAGGGCCTGCAATGCGGTGGACTGCGGGCTTTTCTGGAAAGCCTCTTCCTCAAGCCACAGCTGGGGTTTGGTGGAGGCCAGCCCCCGCTGCACGGCACTCTCCTGCCCACTCAGAATGCCAAGCTGCTGCCCAGAGGGTCCCTTTAACAAAAGCCCTTTCTTTTTTGTTACTTAAATATATGATGTTGTTGAGCATCTCCAGGCCAACTCTGGTGAGCACATCCGCTGTCGACCTGTCAGAGTGCCATGTTAGGGGGATAACTCGTCTGCAGTTTTCCCCCTGAAGCCTCTCATAAAAGAAAGGGCACAGTGGTGCACGGCAGCATTTCAATAGATTAATGAAAAGAAAACAGCAGTCCAGACACAGGGCTGTGGAGCACCAGAGGCCCCGTGGGAGCCCAGGAAATGTGTAAGGTGTGCAGGACAGAAGGTTTATATGACTGTAGCCTAAGTGGAGAGACAGGACTCCCATCCAGGAAATGTGTTGTGGTAATTGTGTAATTCTAATGGTAAATTTAAAGATTCAAAGAGGGAAGAGGTGAATGTGTTCTGGAGTCAGTCCGGCTTACTGCTGCTGGCTGTGCTGTTTCCACAGGGCTTCTGGGAACGCTTGATGTGTGTGATCTAATTAAACCTCAGCAACCTCATGAGAGGTGCTCTTATTTCCTCCCATTTTACAGGTAAGTAAACTGTGGCACAATTAAATCACTCCTCTGTGACCCCACTACAAGGTATCTTCATACAAAGGTCAAGGCCAGATGTGGTCAGGTATGGCAGAAGGAGGGAGTGGGTCACCCACAGGTGTAGAGGTTGGCACAGGGCGCAGGTGCCACCAGAGGTCCCCTGTGTGGGTTCGGAGAGAGTCAGTCTGGGGCCTGTGTGTGTGTGTTGGGGGGGCGGCGGCACTTAGAAACCAAGGGAGGGACTGCCATGTGATGAGGGAGGTGGGAATCTGGGGTCCTCATGGTGCCTTGAAGAGGGTGATATGATGGAAATGTCATGCTGGTGTGGATGTTGGAGCAGGGAGAGGCGGGGCTGGGAAACTAAGGGAGGCAGCTGGGACAGATGGGTGTGAAGTCCCGAGGGTCTGGGCAGGCAGCGGTCACGTCCCCAGGTGCACCCCATTGACCATTACTGACCTCCAGAGAGGCTGCCCAAACATCCAGATGGGGACTGCTTCTTGTCCAGGAACTTGTCCCCCTGTTAGCCCTTCAGTTCTGCTCTGGCTTTTCCCCTTGGAAAGGGACAAAGATTTGTAGTGCTTCAAACCTGACCCGATGACCTCTAAATTCCTGGCTCATCAAGGCTCCCTGGCCACAGGCTCTCTGTATTCCACGCCCGACTTGAGGTTAGAACTCCTCCAGCATGCCGGAGTGCATTTATCTCAGAGGAATCAGAGCTTGAAATGCCAGAGCTTGGAACTGCGTTGCCATCTCTTAACCTTGGCCTGATTGGAGTCTGAATGTACCACCCATTTCAAGAACGGCTTTCAGATGAGGTCACAGACCTTAGTGGGGTCAAAGCAGCATGAAGCTGGTGAAGGAGCCGCTGCTTCCCAGGCCTGGGGAGGCTCCACCTGCACCAGGGACCCCTGTGTCAGGACACGAGGGCCACATCCAGCCCACCACCCATCTTTATAGAGCCTGGCAGCTGTGAGTAGTTTTTTAAATAATTTTAAAAATCAAAAGAATAATAATATTTAGTGATGTGAATTTAGATGAAATTCAAATTTCTGTGACCATAAATAAGGTTTTATTAGAACATTCTCATTCATTTGCGCATGGTCTACAGCTGCTTTTGGGCAACAACAGCAGAACTGAAGAGTTGTGACAGAGACATGGAGATTCGCAAAGCTGAAAATATTTATTATTTGGACCTTATAGAAAACGCTTGCTGACTCCTGACCCTGACAGTGTCTGGGATGTGGATAGTGCTCAAGATATAATAAATGACAGCCTGACATGACACATACCAGCTTTTAAAAATCTCATAACGATCCTATGAGCTTGGTGTGGCTATGATCCCATTTTACAGGTGGGAAAACTAAGGTGAAAGGACTGGTGTAAGATCACAGAGCTCTTAACACGTCAGGGCCATTATTCGAACTCAGGAGTCTGGCTTCAGGATCCACTGTGCTTTTTTTGCCTCTCAGTGTTTGCTGTGTGAGCACATGGATGTGTATAGCCCTCAACATGGCCTGGTACAAATTCTCCAAACCTGCCCTTCTTTCCCTGAGCCATCTCCTGGCAAGGTATCTGAGCATACCCAGTCTGCGCTGACCAGCTGGGACAAACACTGGTATTCTTGTGTGTTCGTAGGCTTGGAGAGTCCAGACCTGGACTCAGGAGGATTGCAG